ACCCCCCTCTCTGGAGTATAAAAGTATTGCCTTAATGTTCATTTTTTTTAAGTCAAAAAAAATCTTGTCAGTATCATGGGCGGCGGAACGATTTTAACGTAGGGGAGGCTCAAAATTTTTTCCTAGGCAATGATGAGAGATGGAACAAAAAAGGAACTACTTTCTACTTTTTATAATGTTCACTATATTTTAAACGCATTTTTGGATTTATTCATGTCAAAATTTGAACCATAGTGAAAAATTTTACGGCAACGTTAACTTTTCTATTGGATAATTAGCATGTACATAAAAATCTTACACCTAATCTAATGTGAATATAGCAAGGCAGAGCTAAAAGCACTTCTCACGACCGAAAATGATTTCATGCTGTTTTTTTTTGAACGAACCATTGCAGCTATTCTTCTATTCCACGTAAACTAAATTTTCTTCATATGAAGGATATCGATATGACTAAAAGTGATCAGCGAATAAAAATGTGCCAAAAGTCATTGTGACTTATTAAATGCATTTCAATGCACTATTATTCAAGCTGAATCTAATATTTTATATTTCAAATGGGAGCCTAGGAACACTTTGTTCTTAAAGATCAAGTTAATCAACAACGTAGCAAAAGCAGGATTTGTAGCTACAAAAAGAAAAACATTAGGCTTTTTCTATGTCAAAAACAATACAGTGTTACTTTCTATATCTACTAGAACTTTGTTCGTCATTGTGCACTTCAGATCATTTAGATCTTTCAGTATTGCTTGACAGCCATTTTCTGACACATTTTGAAAAGAACCAATAACTGATGCATTTTCCCTCGGTAGGTCGTTCGTGCCTCTTCGAAAACCATTAAGGCCGTGAAAAGTGTACGTTGGACTATTTAACAACACATGTTATCATTAATATTGGCTTTCTTGCTCCTTTTTCTCAAGAATATATCAGGATGAGTATTTGTAAAGTCATGAGGATAGATTTGAATGATTTGAAGTTCCTAATAACGATTGAAATTCTAATAGATATCGAAAAAACGCTTCATATTGTTTTCCACATAGAGAAAAACCTCATTTGATTCTTTTTTGTATTCGCAAATTCCACTTTTGCTACATTGTTGTTGAAACGGGTCTTTAATAATACAGACATGTTAGTCTCTTCTTTCAAATAAAATAAGTTTTGTGTTAAGCTTCATTGCTACAGGAGTTACATGTATTTTCATTAGTAACCTTTGGCACATTCTGTATGTTCGTTATGTGTTATAAACAGGGAGTTTTAATGCGGTCAGTTAAATTAGTTGATAACATATTCACACTAACTACGTGAATATTAGTGATTATACTCATTTTTTTTCTTGTTCTTTTATGAAAGACATGCTTCGACGCTATTTAGTAAAGATTTTGTCTGCCAAAAGATTCATGTTCATCTATTACTTCAAAAATTTTTGTAAAACTGAAACAGAGATAAATGTTTGTGATTCGAAATTCATAGAGGCACTGCAAATATAGTGATACACATGGACTATCTAACATTTGACTAGGTGTACCATTCAAAAAACACGAGACAACCTTTATTCAAAGAGTTCTCGCTAATAAGACGTAAACTTGCGACTATATCTTTAAAATACTTTTTAGTATTTGAGCCTCCCCAAGCCTCCTCTATATTTTTCTACGGGAGGCCCGAGCCTCCCCAAGCCTAATGGGTCCGCCGCCCATGTCCACACCCACACCCCAGTCGAATGATTGTAGTCAGGTAAGATCAAATGACGAAGTGACAATAATGTATAGGTTAGTTGATATATAATTCACAACTGACACGACAGTTATATATGATCATTGAATCGAATAGAATTAGTCGGACGACCGACTTCAGTCGACTATTTTTGCCCTGAATAACCGAAAACAATGAATGATATTAGATAGTGTAATAATCAATGGATACAAAAAATATTATAGAGATATAAACAAATTATTAAATGTCGTATATGACGTTCGAAATAAGGCGCTTCGATCTATTTATTATTATACAGGACATACGGATCTGATGTACTAACTGTGAGAAAACTCAAATAATAGATGAAAATACCATATGCTAATTTCTAACCAATCATAGATATATCGTAAAGTGTGGGTGTGAGTGTAAGTCTTTCCCTTGCCCACACACCGACACCCTCTTTCAAATGTTTGTGAAACGAAAATTTTTTTTTTTCTGGTACAATAATTAGATCAAAAACTGAAGCAATAAAGGTATATGATCGACACTGTGGATCTCATATATTTGTATAACGTTGACATAAATTAAAAAAATGATATGCTCATTTACCAGATGTTTCACTGAAATGTGAAGATCTTGATGGGTTTTTATATTTTAAAGAAATGATTTTCTAATGTAACTAAAAACTGTTTCAACACTAATTAGTAATATTCATGGAGTATTGAAAAATGAATATAATCTTTTTGGTTTTCATTTCGTTACTTACATCATCCATTGATGTTCAACAATGATGAAATCCGAAAAAAGTAAAACGCATAATCTATCTTTCTTTTTAGATAAAATAATAAATAGAATGGAAACACTATCGAATGAAAATCTTCTTCATAGTTTTTCTTCTCTCACATGGTTCGATATATTAACGTCTTTTTGGTCATTAAATATTCGGTTCAATTCTCTTGTGTGCTTAGCTCTTTCAATAAGTGACAATTTATTAAATACTGGTCTTCTTATTAAACAAAGTTTATCTTATAACAAATTTACTTCAATATTATTTTCATTAATTTTAAATTCATCATCTCTTTCTTCTTGTATTCAACATATTCATTTTGATGGAACAAATTCAATTGCTTGTAATCTTAGTGATGAATTGTTGTTTAATGATAAAAAAAAGTTCTTCGTTTTCCTAATCTTAAATCACTTATTCTTACTCAACGTATATCAATTGAATTAGTAGTTCTGAGTTTGTCTTATCTTATTGAACATCAATTCGATGAACTTACATTAACATTTGATCAGCAGGTGTTCAAACGGGGTTTTTATGAAAACAGACATTCGTCAATAGCTTTTGATATAGGTAATCAATCGTTTATTTGATAGATTCTCTCAAAAATAAAACGAGATTCATCTATCTTGAAGAGATCATCCTTGATTGAGACCATTTACATTCCATATAAATCCATCCACCGAAAAAATCAGCGTAAAAATGTCGGTTTCGAATTTATCTAGTTAGAATTTTAGTTTCCAAAGAGAAAACATCACACTCATCTCTTCTACTTTCATATCCAGTCTATGTCTGAGAAGAAATCAATGAAACACTTAATACTTATTAGAATCGCTTAGGAACGTATGTGCAAAGAATCTATTCATGTAGAAAGCAAATGGTGGTAGTCTGAGAGCTCCAGTTAAGAAAAAAAAAAGATCTTCTTAGAACTTATAATTAGTTGCTTATATATATACATATTATATAATCGATACTTATCTTAATATGTTAAATTCGATCTCTATGGACGGTGAGCATTTCTAGATTTTATTATCTTCATAATAAATATTTGTGTTTAAGAATATGTTGAAATCTATCATCATAATCGAATAACTGGACATCTTTAGAAAGAGTTAATTTGGGCTACAAATAAAAAATTGATTTTATTATTTTAACACAAAAGAAAACTTTCGAGATGATAAGTCACTTCTAAGATGAGTTGTCTCATGAAATGGAATCTATTGAGGCAAGGAAAAATCTAAACTGATTTGTATTCATAATGCTTTATTGCTAACTTATGAATCAATATGTATGGGACTGGATCAGAACCGAGACAATGAGGAAAAAAAGTTGTTCGAACCGAAACCATAGATTGTAGTCAGTTGATCTGTGGTTTTGAGCGAATTATAATATAAATCATACCGATCAATATGCGAACAGATTCTCAGACAGGTTCCTTTATATAGACTGAGACTCAAAATTAGAGCCGACAACTGAAAAACTAAAATGACGAGGACCGAATCCAGACCAGATTTACCAGACCTATGACTAACACTATCAAGAAAGAAGTAACCACAATCGCAACCAAAAAACTTTATCTCACACAGTTCTACTTATGTCCATATTACTGGGCTTTGAGTGAGTGGCAGAATCTACGAGCAAATACTCTTAAATCGATGCGATGTTGCTTGCAATGCATAAAAATTTTCAAGCAAAATAAACGGTTTTCTCCCATAATATTAACTTCTCCTGCAATTTATACCATTTGAAATATCTTATAAACTAGCATGTGAGTGCTCCTCTTTTTTTCCTAAGTATATCCTCCTTTTTGCTCGTATCTCCTTCTTTTCCTCCTTTGTGTAACTTAAGCTGAAGAATCATTAGATTTTTAGATGTTTGAAACTTAAAAACATTTTTGGATAACTATATTTTCGTCTAATGTCTTTTATACTACAACATTTAGCACTTTATGATTAAGAAAAGTAGATTTAGAAAGTATTCCTATCAAAAGGAAGGTGATAATCCGTTTACGAAATATGTAAAAGCGATGATTTGTTTTGTCGACATAAAGACTGACAGTCTGTTGAACTTCATATGAACAATAAAAAAACATCGTGATCATTTTCAATTGTAAAAAGAAAATGATATATTTAATGTTCGAACTGAACCAACTCTTACTCAGTCACAGGGACGTTCTTCATCGTCAACTATTCCCATGGTGCTTTCTGCTCAAACGATTTACTGCAGAATGAACAATCAGAATGCGGACAATATTGTCGAGTTTCTAGCACTATCTGGATTTGTTCAGGATTTCAACAATAACAAACTTCATGTGGTATTTTATGGTCCATGATTCAACCTATCAAATACCACATGAAGTTTGTTACTATTGAAGTCCCGAAAGAAGTTAAAAAGCACCGGAAATGCGACAATACTGTCCGAATTCTAATTTCGAAATACCTATTGTCGATTCTTCGTTTTACCTCTCAAACGAAAAATATTAGTTTTTTTAGATCAGGTGACATATGGCAAAACATTACGGCATATAGATGTAGTATGTTATGAGTACATTTATCGTTCATGCGATGCATCTGTTGGTTTGTTCAAAAAGACGCTGCCACACTCGAGCACTACATGACAATTCCAAATGGAAGGAAGAAAATGATCGTATGTGATTTCACATGACCATGGATTATTTTTTCATCGTGATCTTGTCTAAGACATTAAACAAGTGCAACAATTTGTATTATGTTTCAATGAACAGATGAACCATCACAACAATAAACAATTAAATTCATAATTCCTCTTTGTCTTGAAAAATCTGAGAGACTGAAATATAGCAGAAAATCGTACATGTTTTAAAATTTACGTGAAAGCTACTCCTGTCCCTCCTCTCCTTAGCTTTCTTCTGCCCTAGGGTGTGGGTGCGGGTGTGGGCATCGGTGTCGATTTAACTGACACCCACATCCTGCATTGGCTTGTTTAGCAACACGAATAATATCATCGAATGAAATTTGATTTGAATCAAGACCAAATGTAATATTATCACGAATTGAACATGTAAATAAATATGGTTCTTGATTAACAAATGATATATTTTGTCGAAGCCATTGTGAATTAATCGATGCAAATGAATATGAACCAAGATAGGTTGTACCCGAATCAGATTCATAAAATCGTTCGATGAGTGATGCTATAGTACTTTTACCACTACTTGATGGACCAACTAATGCAACTTTTTGACCAGGTGCAATTGAAAAGGAAACATTAGCAAGTATTTGTTGTTCAGGTCCAGTTGGATATGAAAATGAAACATTATCAAAATGAATACTTCTATCAAAATTAGTTGGTTCAATAGAACAACTTTCATTGAATGATGAAGGAATTTTCGATTGATGATCAAGTAGATCAAATATTCTTTTACTTGCATCAACTGTTTGCGTAAATTCTAGAGAATAAATTGAGAATATAAGAGATTATCTAATATATATTTTGTTTTATTTTATCATTGAATATTTAACGCCATAGAGTGAGACAAGATAAGCAAAAGCAACAGCAACTTGTATTAAATACAAAAAGAAATGATGATAGAACACCAGTTGATAGTTTTTTTTATCATGAACTAATTAGGCACCATACCTAAAATTAGAAATCATTGTATGATAATATATAGATAATTGACATAAGTGTGAACTAAAATGCCAAGTGTTACAACTGACGAGATTATTTGTTGTTTTTTTTTAAGTCGAACTTTGAGAAAAACTTCATCAAATTAGTAGATTTCTAAGTTCGACAATGTCAAGACAAATATTGGATACATATTCTTATGTTCGAAAAACTCTCAAACTTTATTTACATAACATTCAAATCTTTGAAAGAAAAATATCTGAGCATACCAACATGCAGAATATCCGAATCATTTTCCTTTCATGTTATCAAATATGTTTTATGGTTTAAAGAGAAAGTAATAAAATAGATCATTTTGATTAAGATTACTAGCTTTCTCAAATATATGTATATGAATTTTCTTACCATATAACCACTGATATTGTGCCTGCAGTCAACAATCCGGTAACACCTATGAATAAAGCATTATTAAATGCTAATTTTTTTCCAATGACAAATGATTTCATTAGATTCTATTGGTATCTATCAATTATTTTGCACTCAAATCCAAGTATACAAACATTTCCTAATTATAACAATATATCGAAATATAATGTAAATAAAACATCACAATAAGACTGCCAACGAGATGTATAAAATTTTGTATTAATGTTGCAACACTTCCTGTTAGCATAGTTTGTACTACTTACGTATCACTCGATAATCGATTTGTCAATTCACCAGTATGATTTTCATTGAAAAAACGAATTTCTTGTTGTATTATTGCATTAAATATATTGTGACATAGGCGATAAATCATTTTCCTTCACAAAAAAAAACGACGACAACAAGCTTTTTTTTGATTCAAAAATAGAATACATCTTGTCCAGCCAAGTCAAATAGCCATGAATTAAAAAAAGAACAAATACAATTGATAAAATCAATTCCAAAAAAAGATCAATATAGTAACATTGACAGAATGCATACATAGATTCATGTTTAAGAGCAAAAGCAATGATTTTAACCGAAAAGAATAACATCAACAATATTGATAACACTTGCAATGAAGAAAAAGAAAGTACCAATTATCATCAATGATCGTTCTTCTTTTGCTACGAAAAATACACGTCGTATATCGACTTGTTTTTCTTGTCGATTTTGTTCATGTTGTTATTCAACTAATTTCAATCGATTCAAATACGGAAATATCAATGAAAGAAAGATAAAGTTTACTTAATTGAAGGTGCTGATGAAAAATAAGAACAAATTTAATAATGGCAAAAGTCAATGAACCGATAGTTATCAATAAGAGAGCAATGGTAAATAGATATCCATTGAAAGGAAATGAAGAACGATCTAGTGGTCTGTAGAGACGAAGAATCACGAGTGTTTCAAATTCAGTCAGTGGAATAATGAGAAGAATTAGTTTAAACAATGAAATAATCCCAAGATTAAAGATAGATGTAGACAGATGAAAGTGAATGATATCATCGATGAGTAAATCAGCAGTTCGACTATCTGAAACTCGGAAGAAACAGATGATATTTGTCATATTATTTTAATGATTAGAAAAAGAGTACCTGCAAGCCAAATGATTAGTAATAAGAAAAATTCTTGAAAAACAAGTTCACGACGAATATTAGTGAGACGAAAAAGAGAGATCGATGGAATAAAAATAGTATTATGAATGGACGAATTTGAATTGTTGACGCTAGTGTTTTAAGCATTATCATCCAATGGCAAAAGATTTTCATCTTCGGTCAATGTTATATCAATAATTGGTGCATCATCAATACTATGCGAAATTATATTGATAAGTGTTTAGAAGAAGCAGTACATGGATGATGAAAAACATGTTGACATACACGGTGATTGTGTTAATACTAATGAATAAGCAAATTTCTTTTTTTTCGAAGGAAGGTATCAACTAATTTAGAAAAGAAACAAGATCATCCGTTGATTGCTTGATTTGCTCAGTCAATCAGGAAACAGCATACGCTCTACTAATGGAAATCACCTAGTCAAGGAGAACACACTTTCACTCTCCGTAGTCAATATAAAATTTTGTTTGGTTAACGAAAGTGGACCATAAAGAATTGGACTCTTTTA